CGAAAGTGTTTAATTAGCAATTTAGCAGATGTGATAATATCGGAATATACGGCGAAATTAACGGACGAACTTTGTTAAGGCTATTTAAGTTTATTTTTATAAAGAAAGCTAAATAACTTATATACTTGTTATTACTATCGCAATAAGCGGACCTTTTAGCGCTTATATGTTTTAAATAAGCGTATAAAAAGGGCTATTCAAAGCTTAAAAGCTTACGCAAAGATCGAGTTTAAAGCTTATCGATTAATAGCTATAAAAGAGTATAAGCTTAACGAATTATAAAATATATATTAATAGTTTATTATTAAAAGTGGTTGTATAGCTATTAGCAATTAATCAAGGGTAAACAATGTATTTAGATTGTAATTTTAATTGCGTCGAATTAATTGTAATTTTTGTAACTTTTATAACTTTTATAACTTAATAATTTTATATAATTATGCATGCTAAGCCGATAGATTTAGCAAAAGCGAAAATTTACTTATATTATAAAAGTTATATAAGTTACAAAAGTTATAAAAGTTATAAAAGTTATAAAAGTTATAAAAGTTATAAAAGTTATAAGAATTACAAGAGTTATAAGAATTACAAAAGTTATAAGTTACTTTATAAAATATAATATAAATATATTATTATACCGACGAATATAGCAAGTGTAAGAATTTAGCTAAGCACGGACCTTTTTGAAAAGTGAATTCGTTTATTACTTTTAAATATTTATTATAATTTAAATATTCTTTTTAACTTTAATATTAATATTAATATTAACTTTAACTTTAACTTTAATCTTAACTTTAACCTTAACCTTAACCTTAATTATAATTATAACTACGATTACAATTATATTAGCAATATAATCTTACTTCGTTAACGCAACCTTCGAAACGGACTTTATATAAGGCGGGTAGATCGGCCAGATCCGGCTTATAAGCGGCAAGTACAACTATTTCGCAAGCAGTAGTAGCTGCTTTTACACCCTTTTCCTCCTTTTTAATAAGCTTTCCCTTTTGCTTTGCTTATTGCTTTAGTTAAGCTCGCGATGTAAATGATAAGTGATACATTTTAATTACTTACGCTAATATTATATATAGATTTAATTAAGACGACGACGATGATGATAAGATTGAGCTAATGATCTTTCGCTTTCTTTCCTTTTCCTTTTCTTTTTTTTATACCGTCTTCGCTATTGCTTTACTTTTTTTTTCTTTTTTTTTTTGCTGCTATAGATTTAGTAGTAAAAGAGGTTAAAAAAAAAGTAAAAGAGGATGAAGTGATAAAAGATTTTAAGCTTGCAATATAAGTTATCTTAAGATCAAGTGATATATTCAAGCTACTTACGCTAATAATATATATATATATATATAGATTCGAAAACGACGACGATATAAATAAGCTAATAATCTTTCGCTCTCTTTTCTTTTTTATCTTCGTCCTTTTTGCTTTATCGATTTTTATTAGCGCCTCGGCTCTTATATTCTTCGCCGCCGCCGTGCCCTTCTTTGCTACGCCACTTATTATCCTTCGCTTTACAAGCTTTAGACCGATCTTACTTTTATAATAAAGCATAAGCGTAAGTATATTTTCATATCTTTTATTAATGCTTATTAATTAAATTAATAAATGTTTGCGTTTTCGCTGGCCGTTAATAAAAAGACCTTTCTTATTAAGGCTTAGCTTAAATAAGCTTAATCGATTGCCGGGTTTGCGCGACTCTTTTAAGCTTAGACTACTTAAAAGAAGAACAAGGACCTATATACGCCTTCCGCTATAAGCATATAATAGTCGTATAAGCAATCGGACTTATTAAAGCTCCCCTCTTTTCGCCGTGCTATTATTAGCTACGTCGGCCGTATTATAAAAATCGAATTATAAGAATTACTTTTTTTTATTTTTTAGCAACCTTAAGCTAATATAAATATATAAGAGTAAGCTAGTAGACCCGCTTTGCGATGCGTGCGCTACTGCTCGCTAAAAGTGCTAAGCATACTTTTCGGCCGGTAAGGCATAAATATTTAATTCGAGGAATGCGTATGCTCGCTATCGGTAGTCTTTTCGGAAGTGTATTACGTTTAAGAAGAGCTTACGTAAGAAACGTAGACCTGGACCCTCTTCTCTTGCTCGAAACCTTTCCTCCTCCCCCCCCCCCTTTTTTTAAGTGCACTTTTTATAGCTAGATTAAAGATTCGGATTTAAACCTTTTTTAATGCATATTTTTAGACCTAATAATTCTTATAACTTTTATGACTTATATGATCTTATAGCTTTTGTAATTTCCGTAACTTTTATAACTTTTATAACTTTTATAACTTTTATAACCTTTATAACCTTTATAACCTTTGTAACTTTTATAACTTTTATAACTTTTGTAACTTTTATAATTTTTATAACTTTTATAACTTTTATAACTTTTATAACTTTTAATATTTTCGTAATATAAGTAAATATATAAATATAAGTAATAAAGAAGGTCCGGGGTCTCTTTAGTATAAAAATGAAAAGATGAGTAATAAAGGGGGGTTTAAAAGGGGGTCTCCTTCTTATAATAAAAATATAAACTCGATAATAACTTTTGTAATTTTTATAACTTCTATAACTTTTGTAACTTCTATAACTTCTATAAACTTTTATAAC